GACAACTCACCACCCTCTGGCTGAAGCGCTTCATTGTGGACGTCACTGTAGTGTTCCCTCTCTCCGTGGGGCGACAGACTCGCCGACTCGAAAGCTGCAACTAGAGACTGTAAACCACAATGGACGCAGGTCCAACAACGATTCGGGATATGGAGGAGCGCAGGGCGGACGGTCGAGGTGCAGGTGGTGCTGCTGCTGCAGGGGGTTCAATATCGGCCGGGTGTCGTCGAATGTGGGCAGGCGATGCGGGCGGATTGGTAGACGGCCCGGACGGCGAGCTGCGCAGTAGAATGAAGGGCTATGCGTGGGCGCGGTGGGTGTTCAGGCGGTAGCCAGCGCGTCGGCAGATCGATGTCAACGTGATGAAAGGAGTGCGTTGCTGTCGCTTGTCGCTGTCGCTGTTGCTCGGCGAGTGCTAGGGTTGGGTTGTCAGGAAAGCGTCGCTTCTGGATGCGAAGAGCAGGGGGTGGAAGCTAGAGTCGAGAATTGGCGGGTGAGTTGCGACAAGGTAACGACGCATCAAAGGTTGGCAGATGAAGAAAAAAGGTATGGGCGATCGGGCAGCGAAAGAAGAGAGCCAGACGCGAGAGGTTGAAGGTAGATGGGGGGTGGAATCTCTGGATCGTCGGTAAAGCTGAAGTTGTTTGCGGGGCCCAGGTGTGAAGTGTGAGACGACGACGCGGGACCAGAAAGCCGACCTCCCCTAACGTGCTAGCGGCGGTGCAAATATTAAGGTAGAGAGAGCGGTGCTTTGGGAGTCTGGACAGCTGGAGACGGCCCCAGTGGTGCGGCGGCAGCCAGCCAGGAACAGGCCTTGACACTGTTGACAGTAGGAGGCGCTGTTGACGCGGGAGTTGGGGGTTGGATAAGAAAGGTTCAGATAAGGCAAGTTCGACAGTCGGTCAATGACAGAATGGGTTTGAAAGAAGGAGAAGTGGTGTTGAAGATGCGCATTGGGATTCCAGAGAGGCACGCAGTCGGCATATACCCGGGTGCTGTTGTTGTAAGAGGGGACGGATGAGGTTGACGAGTGGAGGTCGAGGCAATGGCAGTGGCAGTGGCAGCGGGCAGTGGAAGGTGTGGTCTGGTGCTCCTCGCCTGCATCATCAACCCAACTGGACAGACTGCAATCGCACCTACTGCGCAGGAATTGGGTGGGCACGCCGCACCACAGGTGGGTTTTGGGCTGTTGAACTGGAGACGCACCTCAGGTCAGTCTGTATGTACAGTCGCTGCGAGGATCACAACAGGGCACCACGAAGTACCTAGCAGGCCAACAGCGGCAGGCGTGCAGGCGCAGGTGCTGTGCAGAACGGATGGAGTAAAGGGACTTTGGTACCTCCTGTGAGTGACAACTGTCACCGACTGCCACAGACTGGTGGCTGAGCACGGATCATTCTGGAATTAGGTAAGATAAGTTGCCCTCGTCTGGTTGGACAGCTGGGGTCACTGCTTCTTGCACTTTGGCAGCTGTGATTGGCGGGGTGGAAGCTGGACCCTGGAGCTCAATCTCTCCTGACGGGCATAGTGTTATTCCGGAGCATTTTGACGGGTCCGGGTCGGGTCACTGCACCACTGCACCCCTTTGGCCCCCACAGACCATCTCCACACAAATACATCACAATGCACACAGAGACCATGACAGCACACTGCCAAGCCACGCTGCGAAACTGAAGAAAAGGGTCCCCATTCCGTTTGATCCGTGTCATTTCACTCTGACATACTGTGATGGCATCACTCTACGATCCGGCACTGCTGCTGCTCCTGCTGCTGCTGCTGCAAGTCACCTACTAGCCCTTGCAGGGACCTCTCCTTGGGACGCATCCCGCGCCATGTGGGCATCATCACATCACCACGGGCCCAAGCTGCCTCAGAAACAACCGCCGCCCAGTTCTTCGGGAACAATTCTCCAAGTGGTCAACATTGGACGAAAAAAAGGGCCAGCTGAGGCATCTGAAACGCGAATACGTCTGTCTCCATTCCTGTGAGACTCTGCATCGCTGTAAATAGAGTTGATGGGGATTCCTGATGGGAGAATCGTCGCGTCTCTTTACGTCCTTAATCCGTGTCTGAGGCGAGATTCATCTGATGTCTTCGGTGATGCCACACTGGATCTACCTACCTACTGTGTGGCAGAGAAGAAACTTCGCGACAATTTTTGACGATTCCATCGCGCCTGGCGTTGCGCGAGCTGTACAGTGCAGGGACTCCATACGGCCCAGAGCACCCGCTGAAATGCAGTGACCATTCGGAACAGGCTACACTTCGCACCGTGCATCAAACCCGTCACGGTCGCTCGGGACGGCATCACAATTCCAGTGCCAGCCACGGGGTGACCAAAACGGCATTCGGCCTGGATTTCAGTCTCACCAAGCGCTCCCGCTGAGACATCTTCCATTACACGCGCTTCCACGGCTTCAAGTCAGAAGCAGCCAATCACCTGGCCCCGACTGACCACCACTAAATCTCGAACCAAGTGTGTCGATAGAAACCAACAATAAGCCGTCGCTATGGACACCCAGGTCGAACCAGTCAATGATGGAACGGCGAAAGAAGGCATCGAGGCCGTCGAAGGTGTTAATAAGGACGATATCTCAAAAGACCATGGCCCATCACCACCCAAAGACAGCAACTCGGCGCCCCGGTTCCCGATCCCCAAGAGGACCATGGGCGCCGTCGAAATTCCCATGATTGTCATGAACCTGGATCGCACAGAAAAGGCTTTTGGCAACGTCTCGTCTTTCCAAAATGTGTGTATCGCGGCGTCATAGTCTCTATCCGATACTGACGCCAGGCCAGATCCTCGACAGTGAGCGCAACACAATCCCATTCTATCTCAACCCAGAGAGCCCTTTCCGCAGACCCATCATGTCTCACAGCGCTACGAGCCACAATGTGGTCTTGAAGGTCACGGTCCCGAAGCGGACCGGCAGGAAAAGGAAGAGAGGGTCGGATGGGCCGTGGGAAGGTGAAGTCGAAATGCGCGATGTGCCCAGGGCCAGCCCAGGAGCCGAGCCCATTTACTCCAGGTCGAGGCTGGACAATCCAAAGCTTCTGCGGCGGAAAATGCGAGACAACGTCGACAGGTACAGCGTGGAAGCCGTCGGCGTCATCAAGCACACCCACCGCTTCAGAGGTGAAGACATTTCCATCCACTCATCTACGTCAACTGACAAGAGACAGGCATGGCGGATTTCCACTGGGGCCTCGAGCAGTCTCCCTTCATTTCGAGGTTCATGAACCAGGTCATGCCTGGCGATAGTAAGTTGAGTCCGAGCGCTGGCCGAATGGTATCTAACTCGCCACAGTCACCAAGATGAGGGACTTCAAGTTCATTGACGGCGTCGACAAGGGGCCCAACGTCGACATTGTGCCGCCGCCCGTGTGGACGCCAATGACGCTTCCCTTCATCTACAACTACTCCCAAAACCCCTATGTCCGCACTGAGCTCGACCAGACAGGCCAGGCGCAGCTCATCAACACCCAGCTGCCGACTCTCATCGGCTACTTCCTCAAAGCAGACCAGTATCCCATTCCGGCAGGCCCGCAAACACCGTACGACGGCTCTGACGAGGAGGTCACGTACTGCATAGCCCGCATGCTGGAGGCGATGGAGGAGCGGCCCATTTGGACGCGCCGGTCCCTGATGAACAAACTCGGGTCCGTTGTCCGCAACGCCAACGTCATGAAGCGCTGCGTCGGCTACGTCGGCTACCAGTTCCGTGGCGGGCCCTGGCGCGATGCCATCATCAAGTATGGCGTCGACCCGCGCACCGATCCCTCCTTCAGGACGTACCAGACGATGATCTTCAACATGCGCAAGCTCCAGGCTGGGCACATTGGTGAGACATGGCATGCTATCCGCAGCCTGCGCACCGAGCAGCGCCAGCCCCAGGGCGACAACCACGAGTCCCACGTCTTTGACGGCAAGTCGTACTGGACCGACGGCAAGGTTTGGCAGATTTGCGACATAACGGATCCCCTGATTGCAAACATCTTTGCAACGGCACCGCAGCGTCCCGAGGTGGACATCTACAATAGTGGCTGGTACCACCAGGGCACGTGGGCCAAGGTCAAGGGCATCATGAAGACCAAGATGATTGCGATCCAGTTTGGGCGCAAGCTCACGGACGACGACTTTGCCGGCATCTACGATGTGCGCGACACGACGCCGCCGCCGGGCTCCTCGAGCGTTCACGTGCCGCTGCCGGACCTCGAGCTCACCGACGCCGAGAAGCGTGTGCTGTACGGCCGCCGGTTCAAGGAACCCAAGAAGAAGCGCAAGGGCACCGCGTACCGCGTCACTAAGTCTAACGGGCCGCGGGGCGTTGCTGCCGCCGCCGCCGCGGGGCGCAAGGCTGCTCGTAAAGAGGACTCTGGTGCCGAAGACACTGACGAGGACGAAAGCGAGGACGACGTTGACTACCTCAATGATGACGATTACGAGCCCAAGAGGCGGGTTTTTGCACCCGTGCCTGGTCTTGATGAGGGCATGGAGGAGGAGGAAGAGGAAGAAGAGGGGCTAGAGGAGGAGTACGGCGATGAGGATGATGGAGACGGCTATGGGTACGATGACGATGAGGGATATATTGAGTACGATGAGCGTCTTATGGAAGAGACCATTTTTCCCGAGCGGCGTGGCGTTCGCTTCGCAGACGATCAGGGAGGTGAGACAGACGTGGATGCGGCGTATCCCTCGGAAGTCCTGCCTTGATGTAATAGGGGTATGCCGGAATCCTCGACCTAGGGGTCATCACAGTAATGCGGCTCAAAGTGGAAGCAGAGAATCACTGGCGTAAGGTTCGCATTATGCTCTGTTTACAAACTAGGTCCCTCGGATATATATCCCATGCCCGTCTCTTATGCTACCGTATTCCGTGGCCTGCCCCCAGAAGTTACAAATAGGAGAAATGCCAAGACGCGGCAATAACCGCACAGAACGTATATGTCAGAGCCATCGCGAAGGGAGAAGTTGGCGAGATGGACACAGAGAGAGACCCTCACTGCACCCTGAGCACCTTGGTCTTGTTCTCCTTCTGCTGCCGCATCCCCTCCACCCACGCCGCCGTCTCCCGCAGCGCCCGTCGGGGATCCTTTTTCCGCTTCAGCAGGAACCCCTGGATCTCGGCCGGGCTGAAGAGGCCGTCGGGGATCAGGGCGCCAAACTCGTCGGCGATGCGTCCCAGCTCCTCGCCGTCGAATTCGTGGCGCTTGTTCTTTTCTACTGCTTGTGCTGCCGCTGCGTCCGTCTCTGGTGACGATGGCGATGGAGAGGAGACTTTCTCTGTTGGAGAGGCGAAGGAAGACTGCAGAGGCAAAGGCGTCGACGGAGATGACGACGAAGAAGAACCGGAAGCGCTCCCGTTCCCATTCATCACAATGGGCGGCGCGGGGTTCGTCGGCGGCGCAACGTGCCCGTCGACCCTCTTGGCCGGGCTCGCGCCGTCGGCCTCGTACATGCGCTGGAACAGCTCCGTCACCTGCGCGGGCGTGGCGTTGGTGAAGCCGACCTGCAGGTCGACGCGTCCGGGGCGAATCAGGGCCTCGTCGAGGGATTCGGGCTTGTTGGTCGTCATGACGAGGATGCGGCCTTCTTGGGACGCGACGCCGTCGATGGCGTTGAGGAGGCCCGAGAGGGAGATGCCCTTTTTGTCGTCCTTGGATTCCTTTTTCAGGGCGCGGGCGAGGTCCGAGACTTTCCAGTCGTCTTTGTTTGTTGTCGAAGAGGTCTTTTTGCTGCTTTCGTCCTTGGTGTTGTCCGTGGAGTTGTTGCGGTTGGGTTTGGAGTCGCCGTCTTTGGTGCCGTTGGGAGCACCACCACCAGCGGCGTCAGTCTCCGTCTCGTCTTCGACGCGAGCGAGGCCCGCGGTGTCGATATCCTCCAGAAGCACCACGCACCGACGCGGCAGCGAATTAAACAGCGTCCCCAGATCCTCCTCCGTCAACGTCGGCTCCAGCAGCGAAATCACAAAGATATCGAGCCCAAACACGCCAGCGAGCGCAAACGAAAGCGAAGTCTTGCCCGTCCCGGGCGGTCCATAGAACAAATACCCCCTCCGCAGCGGAATCCCGCGGTTCGCGTACCACCGCGGCGTCGCCGGGTGGAGGTACTCGTTCATGTCGGCCATGACCTGCGCCTTTTGCCGCGGGTCGAGCACGACGGTGCGCATGGGGCGGACGGGCCGGTTGGCGACCTGGCTCCAGTTATACCGCCCTCCGTAGCGGCGCATCGGCGCCGGGCTGGGCCGCTTGATGGTCGTGCGCGCGTAGTGGTCCTGGTAGTAGAACTCTTTGACGAAGCGGAGGAGCTCCTTGATGGGTTCCGGGTTGCGGCCGAAGCACGAGACGATGAGGTCCTCTTCCTTGCGGAAGGTGCCGTAGTTGGACTCGCCGTCGAAGACGGACTGCTGTTTGCGGTGGAGGCGGAAGTAGCGCTTCTTGTACCAGAAGCCGTGGACGCCGACGGCGGGGACGTATCGCGGGGGCTACTCAGTGTTAGTTACGTATCAGACATTGTGTAAAGACAGACTTACAGCTTTGGCTTCTTGGTTGGAAAAGTTGAGAAACTCAGTCGCGCCGCTCCCGCTCCCGGCAATCGTCCTCGTCTGCAGGGCCTCGAGCTCCTCCTCCTCCTCCCACGCCGTCTTGCTGACTGTCTCGGCCGTCAGGGAGCGGGAGCTCGCCATCAGCGGCTGGAGCGCCAGCCACTTCATCATGTGCGTGTAAATCTCGTCGGTGCTCGAGACGTGGATGGAGCTCATGAAGTTATCCTGGATCAGGCGGAAGACGGCGCCGTAGGCCTGGCGGACGACGCGGTTCGCGGCCCAGAAGAAGCCCGCGAGCGTCAGGATCAGCGTCGGGTCGATGCCCAGGTTGGAGCCGATCATCTGGTACAGGAGCATCAGGGAGCGCACGACGGGGTTGAACTGCCCGCCCAGCATTGGCAGCAGGGACTCCATCATCTTGTTGCTGTTGCCCGCGCCGTAGCCTCCCCGGCCGCCCGTCATGTTCTCCGCCATGGCGGTCAGGTTGCCCTTGAAGAGGGTTGAGAAGTCCATCTTGCCTAAGTCTATCATCTTGGTGGCGATGGATTAGGGAACGACAAGGTAGATGCAGACGCCTGCTTGTTTATATACTGTGCAGTAGATACCCAGAACTAGGTCCAAAAGGCAGAAGCAGTGAATTGCGGGTTGAAATAAGACTCAGTTGAGGCAACCGGACTTGAATAAGCCGCGTACCTGGTTAGGCGATCGTTGCCTTGCCTTTGTGCCTAATGTCAGATACAATCCAAGAGAAAAGGACTATGCATAATAGACCAACTAAGAGTACGCGCCACTGTAGCCTTGTAGTCGACTCTGGAAGTCCGACTAAATCGGAATCCGAGGTCAGCAGAGTTGCCTGGAGTGGCGAATGAATCTACGGCCTCTGCCATGAGAAGAACTAAAGAGATTTGCGGCTCTGTGATTGAACCGTTGCAGCAGCTCTAGCCTGGTGACTACCGGTTCGAGTGCAACGAAAGAGAAGAGTGTGGGGGAGTGTACGTCAACGTCATCAGCAGCTCCAATTACTGTCAGCCTGTCAGGCTCGGGATGGGAATCGATTGGTCTAGCCTAGAAGACGAGAAACGATCCACGCTCGCGGCAGGCAGTGAAAGAAATCTGTTTGCATTCCTAGGTTGCACTTGCAGGTGCCGCGTTGCCTGGACTCGCCAGGATGGTGACTTGCAGAGAGATACCCATCGAGGTCGCATGTGACTCATGGGATCTAGATCTTCACAAAACAGAGACACACCATCCCAGCAACTACAGTGACTCTTCATCAGAGTTGGGATGGCAAAAAGGGTCGGCTCCGAGGGACTACCCAGTTCAAGACCGAGTTGCATTGTCTCTTTGTTGACGCTAAGAGGGGGGCGAAAGATATGCAGAGTAGTTGTAAGACTCAACGTTGGAAGGGTGCAGCACCCGGGAACAACGCTCGCGCAGTGGCGGGCTTGTGCTCTTGAGGCCGCAGTCCTATACCCGTGTGGCTGAGGGCGCTGAGCCGTTTCTGGCCGCCACTGCATGCTTCTGGTAAGGGAGGCCTCAGGCAAGTGCCGTCTTAGCCGGATAACGGTATCCGCAACGGCCCGGCATGGTCCACTTTACTCGGTCCCAACGACTGCCGCATCCGGTCCGGGCTTTGTCGGCCCTCCGGCTGCCAGATAATGGGAGGCTCGCAAGATGAGACTTAGTTATGAAAGCTTCGATACTCGGCTCATTGAACTTGAGTTACTATTTCCCCGTCATGGGGTCTATCAACAACCAACGGTCCAAACGCCTCCCAATGCCATATACAATCGTCTTTCCCAAGTTCAAGTCCCTTTTGCTCGCCTCCCTTCTGCTCGTCCACTCCCATCAGCTTGATCTCCCATGCTCTCCAGACATTTATTTTCTCACACTTCACTTAAGATAGCACTGCAGGGCGCATCTGTCGCCACCCCCGTTTTTGCTAACGTGCTTGAACTTTGCCCCCTCGTTTCTCCCCGCCCGCGCGCAGGGCAAGTCGCAGTCCGAGTCCTTTTAAGGGTCGCTGCCGCTGTTGGTATCGTTGCAGTTGTACCAGGCCTCGACGCTGAGCTTCTCGTACTTACACAGCGGGTCTTCACTGATGAGCTCCATCGACTAGAAGCCGACGACGCCAAGAGCGAAGAGGACGGTGGTGAACTTCATGTTGAGAAGGGGGAAACGGGGTAACGTAAAGATAGATTTACGTAGATTTTAGATGTAGAGCAGTAACTTTTGAGTTGAACTTATTAATTCCCGCGAATCGAAGCATCGTATAGGAGCCTGTGTTCGGATTGCTCCCACCTTCCATCGTCAACTCACCGCAACCGCAGTTGCGTAGATCGCAACTAGCTCTTAGAAATCTAAAGAGAGTGCACTCGTATGCGTAGTTGATCGTAAACTCTCCTAAAGCTATACGGGACTATTTTCGTATTGCAAAAGGGGCCAGTCAAGTCAAAGAAAATCGCAAACTCACAAGGACAACTTCAAGGGCAGGGCGTATCCGAATCGTGTCTAATCTTCCAGGTGGAAGTATACAGCACCTAGACGATTCTCAAGGCCCTGAAGTGGCTCAAGAACGAGCCAGAGGCGCCAGAGCGCGAGTTACTCCCGCCTGGTTATGGATCTCGGACTCTGCTTGACTAAATATCATGACAACTAACGAGTCATTGCGAGCGCTTGACCACGGGCGAGCTCCAGTATCTGCCGAGAGTTGCACAACGAATGCGGCAATGATGAGCCTACGGAGTGTTCCGCCGCAGAGACGAAAACGAACCGAAAGATAGTGTACGAAGTAGGCTATGAAGGTAGAGAGATTCCGTGTTTGAATGTTTAGGTCCACAAGTGAGTACTGTTTTTGTGGCAAATTATTCGCATGCTAGCGATGGTCAGAATTAGGTGCGCTTTGTTGATATCTCTGGAGTTATCCGTAGATGTCAGAAGGGCGGGTGACTATTCTCTCTGAAGTTGGTCATGTACGCCCCGGCATCCAACCGGGGCGATCTGGCGGCGTTCTTGATACATGGGCATAACGATGAGGAACGGATATCATCGAGAGGATAGTGAGTGGATAGTCTCCCTCGGCAGAGTCCCAGCATCGTCAGCCTCCAGGCTTCCTCATACTCCGAACCTTTACAAGCGGTCCTAGAAGCCATAAATTGAATTTGTATCTTTCATGTGCTAGTTATTGGGCTCTTGAGCGTGTGATGATAGAGATTAAGTTCCATGCTCTGTCTACTGTCATCAGAGTTTCCCTACTCCCACCCTTATAGCCTGACACCTGGATGGCTTTAGTCAGATCGACGTCGTTGTCAACTTGACGCTCGCGGAGGCAACTCCGTACAGAACGATAGGCAGGTCTTGAGGTTAGTTAACCATTGAGATGCGAATTGAGTAGCCTCCGTACACGTAGTTGGCGAGGGATGAACAACGGTCTTCGCATATGCCTACGAGCCCCTTTCACTCCGGTCTATCTGGAAAGGCAACTTTGGTGAACAGCTATCTGTCCGCTAAATACTAACAGAACTGCCTGGAACATCTACACAGCTGGTCAATGTCCGAGGATCTCTGTGCTAGGCCAGTAGTCATTTCACCGTCACCTTGGACATAGGGGTGGGTGTCAGTACGGGAAGTTCAACGCAGAAGTCAGATCAATTCCCGTTCGTGATATCAAAGTTGGCCGCTTCGTCCAAACGACTGTGTAGGCTGGTCTCCAAGCTTGATTTACAGCCGTGTTGAGAGAGCTCCAGTGCTCGAAGTCGTAAAGAGTTGAACGGGAGTCTTCGAAGATCCGCAACTTTGGCTTTGACTTGGACAGAGAGTGACAGTTAGCTGTCATCGAACACACCGCCAGAGCAACTCAATTGCCCAAGGCACTCAAAGAGATCTAGTAGTCATTGCGATGGTGATGTTCAAATTGGATTTGGAAACTTGACCAAGCACTACGTTGCCCTCGGGCGACCACTGCCGCAGGTAGTGGCCTCTGAGATATCTGGATACTGGATCGGGAGGCGGCATTCATAGCATAGATTTATCTTTCCTACCGTTTGCATACCTTCTAGAAGTCTAAGTCACATGATACATTCCCTAGCTTACTGGACAGACCGCAATCGAGTTTCTCGCGCTTCTATCTCTAGCCCGCGACTTGTCGTCAGCTGATCACCACCACGGGTGAGCGTCCTCATCCCAGACCTAGGTCATAACAGCCTGATCTGTGACACTTCTTCACGTACTAAGATTGCCTATTTAGAGAGCATGACCACATCGTCACATCTATATTCTAAACCAACCATCGACCATGCCAGGGAAGTCAACGTGCCTTGTGCAGTGCTGAAGCTGAACACAACGTCAGGACCTCTCCCCTCTACAGTACGTCCGTGGCTATGGGATTGACACCTGCCATCATGACTGATTGTTGAAGAAGTCGTCAAGGAAAGGAGAAAGTAGTCGGGGAGAGGCTGAAGATGGAGGACTAGTGATTGTCAGCTTCATCTCCCTAGGCATCTGGAAGTCTCCCTTCTTCGCCTAGTATTCAACAAGGTATACGTATTAAAGGGATCTAGGGAGTGTGAAGCAACTTCTCATGCGCCTGCCTAGGGAGTGCCAAGAAGCCATTCATCGATCTCACAAAGGCAGACACTAGAGCTCCGCCTCCCAGGCACTTGCAGACAGACGCGGTAGGCTTTCAGCCGCACATCGATCAACAGTTGGCGACTTCTGTTCGATTCGAAAGAAGCATTTAGCAGACAAAGCGCTGGAACCAAAGAAATCAAAGCGGCCCCGAGTCGAGTCCTGGCTGCTGCAGAGAAGATACTCCCACGAGATGAACTGCCGCTGCGTCAGCAACGCTTCGAAACTGGAACTAATGGTATACAGCGAGGGACTCTGGGTTCAAGAAATTCTTTAGGGCTTCAACCAGCACAATCGGCATCTCGGCCGAATACGTTGCTTCGATGTTGACTACTACCGCAACATGGCTGGGCTGAGTATAAACACCACTGCTTCGAAGACGTGGTTTCTGCCACATGTTCGAAACAGACTCTCTGCGTTTGTCATTCGTCAGGACTTGTAGGTTCTACCATCTGGCCGCGACGGCTTCTTTAAGCAAGAGTACTTCGATCACAGACTGATCACATCTCGTCTTTCAACTCCAAAGGCCCAGATCAAGGTTCATATTCAAGTTGGGCCATATCTACAAGGGCAAGTCTACAGAAGTGCTCCAGGTTGTTCGATATGGGACATGCTCGAACTCAGCACCCGTGACACAAAGAGCCGCAGCAACGCGTATTAAATGTGACAGAGGCATCCCTTCAAAGACTTCATGGTTAACATCTAGAGACTACAGCTTTGAAAGAACCAGCAACAAGTCGAGCAATCCATACAGTCACATGTTGACTCTGGGCAAGCCAGGAAATTAGACATCGAAGCTCTCCTGTTGTCTTCTCCATCTTCCTCGACCCAAAAGGCAACCCAGGCACCGACTGCTTCCAAGCCATCAATATCACACATGAGTATGCAAGCATGTCTTCTTTCCA